GGCGACGGCTGCTGCTGGTGGCGGCGGCCGTTGCTGTCAGCGGCGTCCACTGCAGTCGGCTGCTACTGGCGGCGGCGGCGGCTGCTGCTAGCGGCTGCTGTTGCTGGTGGCGGAGGAGTCGAGAAGGGGCCGGGAAGGGTGGCGACGGGGCCACGAAGGGCGGCGATGGGGCCGAGAAGGGGCCGCAAGGGGCCTTGAAGGGCGGCGACGGGGCCGCTAGGGGCGGCGACGGGGCCGCGAAGGGGCCGCGAGGGGCCGAGAAGGGCGGCGAAGAGGTCGCTAGGGGCGGCGACGGGGCCGCTAGGGGCGGCGACGTGGCCGCGAGGAGCGGCGACGGAGCCGCTAGGGGCGGCGACGGGGCCGCGAAGGGCGGCGACGGGGCCGCGAAGGGCGGCGACGGGGCCGCGAAGGGCGGCGACGGGGCCGCGAAGGGCGGCGACGGGGCCGTAACGGGCGGCGACGGGGCCGCGAGGGGCGGAAACGGGGCCACAAGGGGCGGCGACGGGGCCGCTACGGGCGGCGACGGGGTCGCGAAGGGTGGCGACGGGGCTGCTAGGGGTGGCGACGGGGCCGTGAGGGGCGGCGATGGGCCGCGAAGGGTGGCGACGGGGCCGCTAGGGGTGGCGCGAGGGGCCGTGAGAGGGGCCTCTAGGAGGGCGCGACGGGCCGCTAAGGGCAGGGGACGCAACGAGAGGGCGGCCCACGGGGCGCGCCTCGGGCAGGGGCGACTCGCGCTCCGTACAGAAAAAAAAGTTCTCGATTTTCAGTGGTGGGCCCTAGGAAGCGTTCCCACTAGGGAACCTGCTCTATACCATGTGAAGAAATGAGGAAGTGATTGACTAAGGGAAAAGTTGGGTACAAGTACAAGCCCTAGAAATGTGTTGTACCCTATATGTGCTACCCCACTATAGCCTACATAGGCTAAGTCATATAAGTTTGACACTCAACCCACTGTTAGGCCACACGCAACGTTTCTTCTCCCTGACAGGCTATGGCACGGGGGACTGGCTAACAGCTATCCCAATAGAACCGACCTGCTGTGTAGGCCCACCCCACTTCGCTAATGCGGTTCGCCACAGGCTCGGGCTCCCCTTTTCTACACCGGCAAAGTGTGACAGCTCTAAACACGTAGAAATCACTGACCCACTGCTGCCAAACCACCTTTTCCGCTGCAGGACGGGCAAGCACAAGATCAATACTCACAATAAACTGCCCAATTGACGAACATAAAGCGGACCTGGCCATGCGTGATTGGAGCTCAGGGGCGGTGTACATCTGTGATGTCACTATCACCGACCCAATCAGCACCAGGGACCCGCATGCCACCAAGGGAAGGGGATGGGCGGCCAGAGAGGCGGTCGACAAGAAGATCAGCCATTATGCCAGCCGCCCTGACACTGTTGGCTTTTTCCCCTTGGCAGTTGAGACATATGGGTGCCCCTGTGCCGAAGTTCCACAGTTTCTGAAGCTCTTGGCGAACACAGCTGCTAGGCGACACTTCAACGCCCAACCACGCTCATTCAATGTAGTCAGGTTCCTTCATCTTTTCAGGCAGAAGTGGTCGTGTGCCCTGCAAACAGCACAATCAGTAGGTTACCTTATTAAGTCTAGTCAGGCGGCGGTAGCTGAAAATCCCCCCCGGGGGGGGGGGGGGTGCAATCAGAGTTCCAACTTGGGGACAATTGTGCAGTCCTAGAGCCTCTTATGGAGGTGTAGATATGCAGTTGTTTGCAGCTAGATATTTCTCAGCTTGCTTGATTTCAATCCTAGTATCTATACCTTGCATGTTTGTAACCCTTCGGTATATCAATGCACGGACCATGAGAGAGAGAGAGAGAGAGAGAGAGAGAGAGAGAGAGAGAGAGAGAGAGAGAGAGAGAGAGAGAGAGAGAGAGAGAGAGAGAGGGAGAGAGAGAGAGAGAGAAAGAGAGAGAGAGAGAGAGAGAGAGAGAGAGAGAGAGAGAGAGAGAGAGAGAGAGAGAGAGAGAGAGAGAGAGAGAGAGAGAGAGATGGCCTAGTTTCCAGTCCTTATCCGTTTTAGGCCACTTTTTCTCTAGGTATTAGTCCTTAACCATTTTAAACCCCCTCCCTCTAGTATACCGGTAAAGGCCAATGGATCTAGTTTTCTGAGCTCATTCTTCACTGATAAGTTTAGTTTGCGCTCCAAATCCGGCAGATTTGGTTCACTGTGTTAATTTTGTGCCCTGTAACGTTACGATCTTTGCTGGGGGTGCCATGACGAAGATATAGTACTATGGGGAGCGGGGGTAGTGGAGGAACATGATTTTATACTGGGAAATTCTGAAGCTGGTGAACACGCGTTAGCAGCAATAATTTTTAGGCCTGAAAAGTAGGGCTTTTGCATAAAACCCGAAACTTTGGCATAAGGGCCCGCTCATGACAGAAGTTGACCCTACTCTCGCTAGGGCGAAGCCGACTTCGTGGTCAGGTGCGCGGAGATGCTACCTACTGTCTGAAGTGGCGGACGCAGGTCTGTGCGAGCATGTTGACAAAGTTGGTCGACTATACGAACCAGTGTAATGCCGCCGACCAGGGGAGCCGGCAGCCGATTTCAACTTGTGTGGTTAACGAAGGTATGCATCGACCTAGGGGATGCTGAGTTGAGAATGACGACTTTGTGAAGCGGGCAGGCGGCATCATCTTGGGCAGTCAACGAGCACGTACATCAGTTGGTGGGCTCCTTCTGCCCAAGTCGGCGCAGACTTGGTGGTTTCTCCATCGACCAAGTAACATGGGCGACGAGATGTTGCGGAGGTGCGTGGATGTCGCCAAGGTTTTGGCAAAGCCGATCTAAGGCTAGTATCCCGAGGTCAATGCAGCACATCACGCGCAATCATCGGCATGTGGCCGACTTGGCGCCTGCGCAATGTCTGGGGCAGTACACGACGTGCTCAACCGCCTACACGCATCTGCAAAGTGGGCAAGCCGCCTCACTTCAGCATTGGCAAGCCGCCTCAGAGCAGCGCTGGCAGGCCGCCGACTTGCTGCGCTGGTTGGCCGTCGACTTGGTGCCCTTGTGGTCGATCGCCTATGCTAGGTTGCGAGGTTTTGATGTAGTCGTCTTTGTCTAACATTCTTCCTTCATTGTTCTCAACTCTTGCTAGTGAACTCTTATTGTTTTGCCAAGTAAATACGTAAGTCTTGTAAAATGCAAGAAACACAACAATCAATCATTCTACCCGTGTTTTCCCCATAGTCCAGCTCTTAGTATAGAGTGACGTTCCGCATGGTGCAGTAAGCATGGACAATCCCGCAGATTACCTTTGGATTAGTTGCCAACTTACCGCATATTTATGTCGTTGTTAAGCCAGCAGCCTGTGGAAACCATGATGCCTATCCGGGTAAAAACGGGCGGTGTAGAGCATAGCTTGGAGGCACGGTTAGCTGATGTTAGGGGACGCCACGCGAATGGCGAGTACGGTGGGGCGGACGTGGAAGTGCTGCTCATAGGAATTCGCGTGCAGTAAGCGCGCGGGCATTTGACACCCCGTGCTGAAGTGGGTGGTCCGTTCTCCTCTCCTCGACCGGCGCACAACGAAGGTGGCGTCGAAGAGCCGGTCGACGTTGGCGACCTAGTCAATTGTGCTGGAGGCACGAGCGTGACCAGATTAGTAATCAGGGCGCCGCCGACAATATCAGTCAGAATCAGGCGAGGTCGGCTGCGGCTGCAAGCAGCTCGCATGTTGACGTCGACGGACGGCGACACTGTCCCTCGCGAAGCAATATGCGGCAAACATCGGCGACCCACGTGATGAGTGGCAAAAATTCGCCAGCCTATGGGTACTTCAAGTTCTTGCCGAACAGGATCACCGTGCACACAGTGCTGGAAGGCCGACGTGACCTGATCACGTGAAGGGAGTCGATTGAGCCCCAATTAGAAATTACCCAAGGGCTGAAGTTCTTTCTTGACGGCATTATGGAGACGCCGCACGAGACCGGCATCTAGCTCAATGCGGAATTTTGCGTCACCCTTCATGGTCATCTAGCGGTGTTGCTTGCCGATGGTACGGATCGTCTTGACGCCGACCACCAAGCATGTCGGTTCATCATGTCGATATACCAGAAGACCAACGACCTACCATATTCACTTGGATATAAGATCCAGGGGCTTTCCTAAAATGGAGGCAAAATGACCAGGGTGAACATTTAATGGGAACGAGTTGTAAGAGTCCCGGGTACACTTAATAATTATGTACACTTATGCAATTTTGGGGTGTACATTTGAATTTGAAGGAGGGGGGGGGGGGGGGGGGGGGGGGGGGGGGGGGGGGGGGGGGGGGGGGGGGGGGGGGGGGGGGGGGGGGGGGGGGGGGGGGGGGGGGGGGGGGGGGGGGGGGGGGGGGGGGGGGGGGGGTCTTATGTTTGAACCGAAAATATCTCGCGTGCGCGAAACTCGCGCGTCAGAAGCGTGAGAGTTCGCATCTGACATGATTGGTGTGTCAGAACCCGAATCTTACGCAAATGACGCGTCAGATTTCGGATTTTGTGCCTCTAAAAGCTGACGCGCATATTCATTAAAACTACTGTATACAGAAAGAGGGGTCTTCAAAAGCTTTTGATATTATTTAGAGTCCCAGACCCGAATTGAAGTCCCGGGGGTCATTTTTTCGGGAGGGTCCTATATCCGGGAGAATACGGTATACATCAGCCATCTAAATGTGGTTTGCTTGTTTGACAGCCAACAAAACACACAATAACCAGCCAAAAGCAGCCAAAAAACAACAAAAGAAGCCCTACGACCCAGTGAATGCAGCTGATGCCTTCAGCCCTGGAGCATGGAGATCTTGTCTCGTAAGGCAAAGCACACAAGGGCACTCTCCGTGCCTTGAGCCTATTGGCCTGAAGTGCCCTGTTTGCAAGAAGCAACATCTGGAACAGTGGTTGATAGGTGCTAACACAGGGGCCGTGACAAGAAACACACAGCAGCCACGGAACACACAGCAGCCAAGGAACACACATGCACAGCACTCAGCACCTACCAACACAGGTTCCAGGATTCTGCCAGTCATCCTCATAAGCCTTGTCACAAACACAAGTGGCCCCTCCATTAGTGGTGTCACAGTGCATGTTGGCTCCACAACTGGGATTGCATGGCCCTGCGTGGTGGTAGAGGCGACCGAGAGGGGAGAGGGGTGGAGAGGACGTGAAATGAGGGGTAGTGGGGTTCAGGATTGAAGACGACAAGATATTTAAAAAACGAGATGTTGGGAACACATGAGTGGTGAAGCCGCTGGCACTGGAGGCAGCACAGCAGCACGTCAAGCGAGCATCACCCACCGGTCTCAGCTGGAGGTTGGTGTTGCACGTGCCATCACTCTGCACCTCGGAACCATCGTCAGAAATACACTGTTGCAATCCAGAAAGGATGGCACAGTGCTGGCTCGCACCACATATCAGACCGCATACTGTGTGGGGGGGGAGGAAATGGGGGTGATGCGTGGAGGACATGGGTGAGGGTGGCGTCATTGAATCGAATCACATGGGGCTGTGTTGCCTCAATGCTTGTTCGCACCTCATCTCATTGAATGGAGTCACATGGGCGCTGCTGGGTGGGGGTGGAGGCGACGCCAAGGGAGGGAGATGGGTGGAGGGGATGTGAGATGAGGGGTGGTGGGGTTCAAGATTGAAGGCGACAAGATAGTTTACACGAGATGTTGGGAACGCATGAGAGTAGTGAAGCCATGGAAATGACAAGACACTTCACTTGGGATGCTGGGAATGCGTGAGAGTAGTGAGTCCATTGGCACCGGAGGCAGCACAGCAGCAGTTCAAGCTATCATCACCCACCGGGCTCGGTTGGTGCAGGGTCGGTTGGTGCAGGATCGGTTGGTGCAGGATCGGTTGGTGCAGGATCGGTTGGTGCAGGATCGGTCGGTGCAGGATCGGTTGGTGCAGGATCGGACGGTGCAGGATCGGTCGGTGCAGGATCGGTTGGTGCAGGATCGGTAGGTGCAGGATCGGTTGGTGCAGGATCGGTTGGTGCAGGATCGGTAGGTGCAGGATCGGTAGGTGCAGGACGGATTGGTGGACGGATTAGTGTAGGTTGATCCAGGTCGGTCTTCAATGCAGGTTTCACTGGTTGAGGGAGAGAGGGAGAGACGGAGAGAGGGAGAGCGGGAGAACGATGGGTGAGAGAGCATTGATTTCTCAACAAGCAAGAGATGGCATAACGATGGGTCAGAGAGACAGTAATTGCTCAACGCGTGGAACTTACCAATACAGCCGATAGCCCTGACCATATCGATTGGGAGGCCGGGCATGCAAACACAAACTGCACCGATGGGCGCAAGCTCGCAGTATGACAGATCCGGATCACATGCCGGAGTGCACGCGGATGAGGTTGTTGTCGGGGTTCCTGTTGGTGTGAAAGAACAAGGTCCAGGTGAGGGTGGATGTAGAGAGAAACATGAGAAACATATCGTGTAACAGATGAGAAACATATCGTGTAACAGATGAGAAACATATCGTGTAACAGATGAGAAACATATCGTGTAACGGATGAGAAGGACAAGGACACTCTAGCACAAAGAATGAGATTCAGACAGGAGGGGCGCAAGGGACATGGAATGAGGGGTGGTGGGGTTCACGATGGAAAGAGGGACTTGGCACGAGATGCTGGGAATGCGTGATAGCAGTGAAACCAATGGCATCGGAGGCAGCACAGCAGCACTTTGAAGGTAGCATGACCCACCAGGTGCAGGAAGCCGAACGGGTGCAGGATCTTCGATCTTCACAGGTGGGTTGCACGTCTTGCCATCCGGCTGCAGCAGGAAACCCGAGTTGCACACACAGGACGCCACTCCAGTAACGCTGTCCTTACTGCACTGGCCGTTCACGACATCACAATTCTTAATTGCGCAGTTATCCGGGATGGGGGAGGGATGGGAGAGAGAGGAGAGTAAATGTGGAAAGATGTCACCAAGAGGTTGCTTGAGAGAGCAATGAGAAAAGAGCACACACACACATACGCGAGCGCCAAAACACGCACACAGTCACACACACAGGACGCCGCTCCGGTAGTGGTGTCCTTGCTGCACTTGCCGTTGACACCACAGTTCTGAATCTCGCAGGTGTCTGGATGGGGGGATGGTGGGGTAGAGAGGAGAGTAACGGTGGAGAGACAAAGAGGTAGCTTGAGAGAGCAATCCGGAAAGAAACACACAGTCACACACACACACACACCCACAGTCACACACACACACACACACAGTCACACACACACACACGTGCGGGCTACAAGGGCACAACGCAACCGGCGAACGCACCAGTGCATTTGCCGTTTGCCAAGGCGAATCCAGTCTTGCACACGCAGGTCGCAAGGTTGCCATTCTTCACACAAGTGGAATTGGCATCCAGGCCCGGGCAGTTCTTGACGATGCACACATCTGATGATGCACAAGGGGACGGCTCGGATTGAAGGAGAAAGGAGACGTCAAAATAAGACCTTAAGAACAAGAGCAGTGTATTGGACAAGGGGACGGACCGGATCGAAGGAGAAACGGGATGTTAAAATATGTCGTTGAGAAAGGAACGACCGACCAAGGATTAAGCACAGCAGCACACAGAAGCTCCTCAGCACAGCAGAGTAGGGTCAGCACGTACCAGTGCAAGTCTTGCCATCTGCCTGCAGTGCGAAGCCAGTGTCACACACACAGGACGCCGCTCCAGTAATGTCCTTGATGCACTTGCCGTTGACGCCACAGTTCTAGGTGTCTGAGTGGGGGAGGGGTGGGGGAGGAGAGTAAAGGTGGAGAGGAGTCACCAACAGGTAGGTTGAGCGAGGAATAGAAAATGGAAAGACACACGAGAACACACAGACACATACACATAACACACAGTCACACACACACACAAAGAGTCGCAAATTCACAGAATGAAGTGCGGGCTACAATAGCACAACGCAACCTGCGAACGCACCAGTGCATTTGCCGTTTGCCATGGCGAATCCAGTCTTGCACACGCAGGTCGCAAGGTTGCCATTCTTCACACAAGTGGAATTGGCATCAGAGCCCTGGCAGTTCTTGATGATGCACACATCTGATGATGCACAAGGGGACGGACCGGGATTGAAGGAGAAAATGAGAACTCAATATAGGTCATTGAGAACAATGAGAGCAATCAGAAATCAAAACACACACATCATGCACAAGGGGACGGACCGGATTGAAGGAGAAACGAGATCTCAGAATAGGAGAGCATGCACCAGCACAACAGAACATAGAAGCTCGTACCAGTGCACGTCTTGCCATCCGCCTGCAGCGCAAAGCCAGTGTCACACACACAGGACGCCGCTCCAGCGCTGTCCTTGACGCACTTGCCGTTGACGCCACACGCCTTGAGCACGCATGTGTCTGGGGAAAAACGGGGAAAAAAGGGGAAAAAAGGGAGGGGGCAGAGAGTTCGGCGAGTGAGGGGAGATCACGGAAATTACTGCCCACGTGACAAGCCTCAATCTGACATGAAGCTCTAACAAGGCTGTGGTGGTGAGCAGAGCAGGACTCACGAGCAGCAGCAGTCACCAGCAGCAGCGACACCCACCAGCAGCAGCAGTGACTCACCAACACAGCCGGTGGGGGTCATGGCGAATCCAACGTTGCAGACGCAGGTGGCATCGCCCCTGTCCTTCACGCACACCGCATTGAGTGCCGCACAGTTGCGCTGCTCACGAGTCTGGCGTTCACAGGGACCAGAGAGAAAGAAAGGATCCAGGACGAGAGGAACGGAGAGAGGAACGGAGAGGCAACGGAGAGGCAAAGAAAGAAAAGAAAGAGATGAGGAGAGGAAAAACGAGGAGACAAAAAGCGAGGTGAGATGGAGCATGCACACGTGGAGAGCAGAGAGAGGCGGTAGTGAATCGCCTCAAGGTAGGATGGTTAAAGACGAGACTGGAGTAAGGCCGACGAGACGAGACGGGCAAGGCCGCAAGGGTGCGTTCAACGCTCTGGAATAGGCGGCTGACTTACGGTCGGCGGCGTTGCTTTGAGGTGGCAGGCGAACGGCGGCTGTCATGGGCGCACACGCTGAGCACGAAATGGGGAGAAGGCGGGGTGGGGGGGAAAAGAAAGGGAAAGGGGAAGAACCGAGGGGGAATGCCATTCCAAGTGGGATGAGAGGAGGGGGGGAGGGATGACTATGGCAGGCGATCGGCAGTAGTGGGAAAGAAGGGGAACGTGGGAAGCGGGGAGAACCTGACAGCAGATCCAAGAGCATGAGAGCGCACCTGAGAGCATGAGAGCGCACCTGAGAGCATGAGAGCGCACCTGAGAGCATGAGAGCGCACCTGAGAGCATGAGAGCAGCGACCAGGAGGCCCAAGCTCCGCGGCACAGGCACGGCGTGCGAAGCCATGGTGCTGTCAATTCCCGCAGCCAACAGGTGGGGCGAGAAAGACGAGAAGGGCTGCACGCAGCAGCGGCAGCACTGCTGCGCGGATGAGAGACGATGAGCCTCCGAGGGCTCAGTCGTGGCGTGTCACGAGAGGAGTGGAAGGAGAGGCGATGTGTGGAAATGAGAACCGAGAGGCTAACTAAGTACTACTACGACTCTGTCCTCCTCCCCCTCACTCCCCTGAGGCGGGGTTCTCCACCACCACTCGCCCCCGCCGCACATTTCCTCCCCCCCCCCCCCCCCCCCCCCCCCCCTTCCCACGTTCGGGCAAGGAGGAGGGGAGGGCGGGGGGGCGGGGAAGGGGAAACGCGCGGCGCTGGACCATCGCATCGCATGGGCCAATGAACGACAAAAGCCATGTGGTTTCGTAGTTGGTACGAAATCATGAACCACACGAGCTTGCAAATTTTGACGGTCAGGATCCACCTTACTACTACACGAGTACTGTGTGCCTTTTCCGCACTGCGACAGCGCGTGATCCATCGACCACGATGGGATGGAACGCGCGGATATCGCCGAGCGGATATCGCCGAGCGGCTAAGTACAGTACAGTACGATCTGACTGTCCCCCTTCACTCCCCTCTGCTCAAGCTGAGGGGAGGGGAGGGGATCCCTCCCCCCGATAGACGTCGCCAAACTTGGCGGAGACCAGGAAGGGAGGGAGACGGGGAGGATGGGGTGGGTTGAACATTACTCTGTCTGACGTGGGCCATTGAACGACAGAAGTCCAGTGTTTTCGCAGTCTGGTAAGAACCGTTCTTTTACACGAAGTCAAGATCACACATCTGACTAGAGACAAGAGGAACGCCTGCTTCGTCCGCTTCGACTGCTTCGAATGCGCGTCGTGCAGCGCACGAAAAGAGGCACTGACGACACACCCCACCACCCGTTCAAGGTGTCGGGTAGTATTAGCTGTGATGATATTTTCTGAAGATAACCTAAACTACGTGCGATGTCATTGGCGGACGTCGATTACCCCACGACGGTGCTTTGGTCCACAAAACCACCGATGCTCGGCGCGATATTTGACGCGAGGGGAGGGGACCCGAGAGGGCGGGTGGGGGAGAGAGAAGGAACTTCCCCCTTTGAGTGGTGGGTCGGAAAACGCGCTGGCCGATGAGGCGCGAGTCTGCGCGTTTGTCACCGCGCCGGAGCGGCGCACCTTTTCTGCGGCGGGTACACGACAAGTCTGTATCGACATGGCAGACCAGCCTTCAAGGTGTCGGGTACTGGAGTGACAGCTGTCATGATATCTCCTCACCCTAGATCATGTACACTGTAGTACATGCGATGTGTCATTGGCTGCCTAGATTACCCCTATGACGGTGCCTGAAAACGACGGAGCCAGAATCCGTCGCATCGGCCAAAATCCGTCGCATCGGCTCGGAAAATGCCCTACCGTGCGGCGAGATCCCATCAACCAAACAATCGAAAGAAAATGGGGCTTGCGTGATCCTTTGAGTGACTGTGGTCCTTTAAAATCGGATATTCGCAACAGTGACCATTGTCGTTAGCCTGGTTCAAGCCTCTCTCCTTGGCGGATATGTATTCGAGCGCAGTCGAAGGTATTGACGTGGGAGCTCTATCGTATTGCGGAGGCTATCGTGCAACGAACGAAAAGTTTCAGCCTACAAGGCTGAAACGTACTACTAGTAGTAGAAGCGTCCATCTGAGCGAAGGATATCGTGCAAAATACGAAAGGTATCGGCCTACTCGTACTACACCTACCGGTTGTTATGAGTTGTTAGGCCCGACGGCCTAAGTCCGCTAAAGAATTAGCGGGGTCGACTAAGTCTAGGATGAAATGCGGTGGGAGACTTTGGCGAAAGAACTATTGGCAAAATAGGCGAAGAAGTTACTTAGTAATTGAAGAGTTGAATGAGAATTGATTGATAATGCCAAGTACAAGCAAGGTTTAAGTAGCAAGCAAGAAACAAGGTTGGAGAGTAGATTGTGGGACTAGGAATTGTGAAGCTAGAAAAGTAGAGTGCCACGTGGCACTAGAGAATCCAAGAAGATAAGGATAAGGATGAGTTGGATGGGTTGGGAAAGTACTGTTCAAAGGAAACAGTAAATCCCCCCTTAACACTACCCCCCTCCCAAGGAGGCGACGTCCGCGGCGCCTGCAGACTGGAGGTACGCTTGGAGGCAAGCGTTGTCGGGAGACAGCGAGGACGAAGGAACCCAGCTGTCGTCTGCTGCGTCGTAACCACGCCAACGAACCAAGTGTCAGAGGTCCACTGGTGATCCCCGATTGATCCTAGGGAAGGGTTACAGGCACGGTTGCCTGGGGGGTTATGGGCGCACTGACCCGCTACTTAAACAAGCTCTTTTATCCCAATCGTCTAGTGGTTGGGATTCTGACATGGTATCAGAGCGAAGGTCTCGGGTTCGAATCCCGGTGTATGCACTTCGGGCATCCCAGTGCGGGGGGGTGTCAGAGGTCCACTGGTGATCCCCGATTGATCCTAGGGAAGGGTTACAGGCACGGTTGCCTGGGGGGTTATGGGCGCACTGACCCGCTACTTAAACAAGCCCTTTTATCCCAATGGTCTAGTGGTTGGGATTCTGACACCAAGAAGTCGATGAAAGGGACACCCCCCTGGAGACGGCGACGGTGCCTGAGGATGCGTTGGATCTGGTAGTCGGGCTCGTCGGTGTCAACAGCTACTGGCAGTGGAGTGCGGCCACGGCCCGAGAAGGTGGCGTTGGGATCGGTGTAAGGACGAAGAAGCGATACGTAGAATGACAGGTGCATGCGGAAATGAGCGGGAAGGCGGAGGCGGCATGTGACTGGACCAAGCGCGCGCTCAATGACGAATGGACCAATGAAACGTGGACGAAGCTTGCTGTCCTGTGGCAGTCGGAGGTTGCGGCTATCCAAGAGAACACGGTCGCCGACTGCGAACGACACCTCACGACGACTGCGGTTGGTGGTGCGTGCCATGCGTGCATTTGCGAGCTCAAGGTGATCATGAATGAAGGTGACATGCTGGTGGAAGTGGTCCGCACGAGGGACTGTGGGTGTGAGATCGACACGAGTGGGGACATTGGGGTGCTGACCGTACAGTGCGAAGAACGGTGACATGCCTGTGGACGAGTGATGCGTGTTGTTGTAGGCGAACTCGGCCATGCTCAGCTTCTTGTCCCATGCGGCTGCGTCGTGCATCGTGATGCTGCGAAGAATCTGCTCCAAGGTCTGGTTCACACGCTCGGTCTGTCCGTCTGTCTCTGGATGGTACGCAGACGACATGGCTAAGCGAGTCCCGAACAGTGCGAAAAGCTGCTTCCAGAACTTCGAAGTGAAACGAGGGTCGCGGTCTGAGATGATGGAATCTGGAACCTCGTGCAGTCGGACTACGTTATCTACGAACAGCGTCGCGGCTTCCTCTGCTGTGACCTTGCCGTGCGTGGGGATGAAGTGCGCTGCTCGAGAGAACTTGTCGACTACAACGAAGATGGCGTCGTGACCCCTAACTGTGCGCGGTAAAGCCATGCTGAAATCCATGGTGACTACCTGCCAAGGGCGGTCGGGCGGTGGAATCGGCTGCAAGAGTCCTGCTTTGCGCTGGCGAGATGACTTCGTACGCTGACACGTGTCGCACGAGCGAATGTAATCCTCTACGTCTGCTGCAAGCCCGGGCCAGTAGTACGTGCGACTAAGCGTCTTAGCCGTCTTATCTGCTCCGAAGTGACCTGCACTAACTACGTCGTGCGCCTCTGAGAGAAGGAGCTGTCGAAGAGGGCGGTAGGCTGGAACCCAAATCCGTGTGGTACCCTTCCGTATGTAGACACTACCCTGCACCTCTGCTCCTGCGGGCAGCTGCGGTGTGAAGTCGGGATCTACTGTGTAACCGTGCTCGAAGAGTGCTGTGAGAAGTGGGTGGCCGGCAGTGACTGTGAGACTAGCGAGCTGGCAACTAGGGCGAGTGAGTGGATCGGCAGGGTTGCGCACGCCTGGCTTGTACTCTATCCTGTAGTGGAAACTCCCCTCCATGAACTCCATCCATCTAGCCTGGCGACGACTCAGCTGCGACTCCGACTTGAGAAAGCGAAGCGAGCAATGGTCCGTGCGTATAACACTATCTGCCCCCTCTATATAGCACCTCCACACCTTATACGCATGGATGATCGCGAGCGCCTCCTTGTCGTGAATCGGATAGTTCAGCTCGGCTCCCCTAAGCTTGCGCGACTCGTACGCTATCGGCTGCAACCCGCGGCCCTGGTCCTGAAGAAGCACTGCTCCTATGGCCTGATCTGAAGCGTCGGTCACTACAACGTATGGGCGAGTGGGATCAGGGTACGACAATGTCGGTGAAGACGTGAGCGACTGCTTCATCTGCTCGAACGCCTACTACTGCGCTGGACCCCAAACGTACTCTACGCCCTTCCGAAGTAGGTCGGTGAGTGGACTAGCGATCGATGCGTAACCCTGAACGAAACGACGATAGTAATTGGCGAATCCGAGAAAGCTCTGCAACTCCTTGACTGAGGTCGGTGCTACCCAATCCTGTACTGTTGCGATCTTCTTCGGGTCGGTCCCAATGCCACTAGCGGATACGACGTGTCCTAGGAACTCGACCTCAGGGAGAAAGAATTCGCACTTCGACTGCTTAGCGTACCGCTGCTCCCTCCGTAAAACCTCGAAGACCTTCTGCAAGTGCTGCACGTGCTCCTCTTTTGTCTTGGAGAATATGAGAATGTCGTCTAGGTAAACTACAACGAGCAAACCTAGGAACTCGGAGAGGACACTGTTCATGAGCGTCTGAAACGTCGCTTGGGCGTTGGTCAATCCGAACGGTAGAACCCTAAACTCGTACAACCCCTGCTTCGTACGAAACGCCGTCTTGTGCTGGTCCTCTGGAACTACGCGAATCTGGTGGTAACCCGAACGAAGGTCGATCTTGGAGAAAACTCTAGCGCCCTGCACTGCATCTAGGAGATCCTCTACTCTCGGCACCGGAAACCTATTCTTGACGGTGGCGGCGTTCAGTGCGCGGTAATCTATGCACATCCGTAACCGTCCGTCTTTCTTGGGTGCGAAAAGGATCGGTGCTGGCCAAGGCGATCTAGATGGCTGTATGAACCCCTACGCTAGGAAACGCCTAACCTGCTTCGTCATCTCCTCTGTCTCTGCTGGACTCAACCTCCGCTGCGTCTTCGCTACTGGCCTGCTCCCCGGCTCCAACTCTATTCGATGGTCTACTGCTCGGCTGGGAGGTAACCCTGGGGGCAACTCGTCGGGGAAGACGTCTGCGAACTCTGATAATAGTGCACTCACCTCAGCAGGAAGAGTCGCCTTCGCACCAACTGCTGCACTCCCTCCTTTCCCTACCTCAGCTTCCACCTCCTCAAGGAAAACCGTGAAGATCCGTGCCACACGCTTCACTAACTAGCACACATGAACAGCATTAATGATAGCTGTGGATGATATGGCCCCATCGCTCCACTGTGGCAGCTCCCAGAACTCCCCATCTACCTTGACGTTGCAGCTTCCCTGAGCCCAATCGAACTGAGTACTAACCGTGCGTAGCCAATCTCTCCCGAAGATAAAATTGTATCCGTCCAGCGTCGTAGAGTCGAAATCACGCCTAACTGTGATCGGTCCTAGCACTACGCGCAACTTGCGAATGTTTGGTCCTATGTGGAGAGGCGTCCCATCTACCATGCGAGCATCCATGAAGTTGACAGCGGAATCTGTTTCGAGATGGAGGCGGCTGACTAACGATGAAGACACGAACGAGTGGCTAGCTCCGCTATCTACGAGAATCTTAACAGGAACTCCGCGGAGCTTCCCTAGAAGCACGACTGGTCGGTCAACAGTGTCTACCTCGTTCTCCGTAGATGACTGCTGCAAAGCCGTCTCCTCTACGTTGGTAGACGTGGCGGGTAAGGGAACCTCCACACCAGCTAGCGACCCGCTATCTACTGGCGGTTTCTCTTTCCCTGCTGCCGCTCCTTAAGCTGTAGGTAGTCCCGCTTCATGTGTCCTGCCTTTTTGCAGTGGTGACAGTTCCCCCTAAATCCCGTTTTCTGTGAGCCGTCACTGTTAACTGCACCAATCTCCATGGGCGATGGTCCGTCCCTCAATCGAGCGTCGTTGATCGGTCTGTTGTATCCCCTATCGCGATCGTCACGACCCCGTCAGCTTCGTACTGCGTCGACGCGTTCTGCTGCTACGACAACTGACTCGAAGGTGGACAACCCATGAATCGCTATAACTTCTGCTATGTCCGGCTTCAACCCCT